GGACTAGTAAATACTAGATATAACAAAGAGTTATCAGTGAACATTGATCACGAGAGAGTTGTAAAGAGGTGATATCATACGATAAGTAATCTCTAGAGAGACCTACTAGGATTATTATGTGATATCTACGAGGATTAGTGAATCACCGAATATATCAAGAAACTGAGCTATCTCACTTGGGAAAGAGGACATAAAATTGGCTTATGCTTCGATGCATGTTTGAATTTTTCTATGGAGTAATGTTCCAAAATGAATGGAAACACTACACATTTGAGTAGATGAAATGTAATGATGCATGATTTAGCCGTGGAAATAAAGAGATACAAGGAATTGCTAATGAGAAGCCCTTGAAAATCATAAATATTGTGAGGAATAACAAATGGAATATCCAGTAACCATAGGCTGAACTCTGAGAAGAATTTCAAGAATAAATTACAAACTTTGCTAGAGAGAATCAAAACACACTGCAAATTTTGAGCGAGGACGCCAATGAAAATTAGACGCTGCCGAGGGATACCAATAACCATTGAATCTGTGGGGAATAACTTGTCAACCTCTTCGTTGGGGAGGAAGTGATTTCTTGAACAAAAAATGCATTCATAAACTTCTGTTGGGTATATGAGTATCCTTGAACAAGAATGCTTCAACAAATAGACCCTTTTAGGGATATGGGAAATCTTGACAAATAAATCTCGATAAAAGCTTCTATTGTGGAACAAGAGAATTTTCAAGCACAACTTGGCTAGGGAATGAGAAAGGTCTCTCAGTTGGGGAGAAAACTCAGCTTCATGAATGACCATTCACCAATAAGTTAGACTTTATGAACATTCACTAGGGACAAACGGATTTTTATCAAGAAATCTTTATCAATCAGACTTTATCAGACAAAGGTTCTTCGCATGGCGATGCACTTGGGAAAAGGAAACTTCAAATTCTAGTGAGGATAAAGAGATTTCTCTAAACAGAGAGAGTCTATAATAAACTCTACTGGGGAGCGAATCTTCACTTGGGGAGGAAGGAGTTATTGAATAAGAAAAACCTTGAAGTTCAACCTCCACTAGGAAATGATACAACATCTTATATCACTGGGGAGTAGGAGAATTCTTAAAATAACTCTCACTGATATAAAGTGCACTGGTGAAGCACACCTTGTAAGATATTCACCAAGAGTGTAACCTTGCTAAGAAGAAAAACTGAACTCCTAAAAGAGATATTAGACAGGAAAACCATATGCATATACTTCACTGGTGAAAATAGGATTATGCACCCTCCACCGGGGAAATGGATAAATCAAGAAACTTCTTGTTGGCGAGTAGGGCTGGAAATGAGTCGAGTCGAGTCGAACTCGCCTCAGCTCAGTTCGACTCGTTAAGAATTAGCCGAGTTCGAGTTCATCATGAACTTTTTTTCCAGATCAAACTCGACTCGTTAAGAATTGGTTGAGTTCGAGTTCGAGTTCATTACAAAAAAAAATTCCATCTTAAACTCGACTTGTTAGAATAATCTTATTTAAAACAATCTTATTTATCCTTATTGTCTTCACAAGAATTATAGAAAATATTTCTAGCTTTCATATAATATAAGTTTCATCTCAAAATAATATTTGTAATTCAAGATATTATCATCAAAAGTAGATAATATGAACAAATAATGAATTGTTATAACTTAAGTTTGTAAAATATATTTTACTATATTGAATTTAGATTTTTTTTTAATCAATAGAATTGTAAATTATTTTATCATCTTTCAAATGCTATAAATAAATATGAAAACTAAGTATTGATGTCTTCATGAAACTTATATATCGAGTCAGTTCATGAACCAAATGAATCGAACTATACATAACTCAAGTTCAACTCATTTATTTTACGAACTTAATTTTAAGCTCAAATTCGACTCATTTGGTTCATGAACTAAGTCTAACGAATTAGTTACCGAATCGAATCTCGAACTATATTCGAGTTGGTTCGGTTCATTGTCAACCCTATTGGTAAATAAAAGAATTCTTACAAGAACCTTTAAAAGATGCCGACCACACTATCATACCCCAAATTTGTCCGTCCTATTTCTAACAGTGAAATTATTTTTAAATTTGTGCTTTATAAATTTTTTGGTTTAATTGTACTAACATTTAAATTTTTGTTTATTTAAAAATATAATAATTTCCTTTAAATTATTTATATTTCTTAAATAAATAATATTTAATTGACATTGTATGTTTTCTAATGCCATTTTATTTTGAATAAATGAATTGATATGATTGGTAAAAAGATAAGGCTTGCAAGTGAGAGGTCTCAAGTTCAAATCTTACATTCTGCACTTTTTTACTTTAGTTTCCTTTCATTTTATCATTATTCTAAAAAAAAAATCATTAAAAAAAATTATTTTTTAATTATTTATTTTGCATTTTCGTTTTTTTATTTTATTAATATTTTAATATTGAAATTTTTGTTTTTAAAATATTTTATTTTATGCACTAATTAGTCAAAATTCAAAAATAATTAAATCTTCTTCAAAATCAATCTTTTTCAAATCAAATCTTACACATAGACATAATTAAGTCTAAGTTCTTAATCTTGTTAACCAGGATTCAATCAGGTATTGTTTTGATTTTATTTTCTCTTTTTTGTCCTTTAATCTAATTTTCCAACTTTATAAATAATATTCTATTTTCATAATTTTGGACATCAACAAATCTACAAATTCTATGATTTTACACACACTTTTTGTTTACAATTTCTTTTTCTACTGATATTTTTATTAGCCGATGATTTTCATATGAGGCCTCCCATTTTTTCTTCTACGCTTTTTATCAACAATCACCTACACTTTTACAATCTCACTCGCACACAAACATCCACGATTTTCAAATTTTTTCTCTTTACACATTTACAAAACTATTTTGACCGATAATTAAATATGAAGTCACTCTCTCTCCATTTTATTTTCAATTCTTTGTAGTTTTAATTTATTTATTTTTCAACCAAGTGATGATTTATCTGATGGTATATTTTTTTTTATATAATAATTTATAGTGTTACTAATTGTTTTGCATCTAATAATTTATAATGTTACAATTTTTTTTGATATAACCGTTTATATTTTTATTAATTCTTTTATCTAATAATTTATATATTTCATATCTATTTCATTTCTTAAAGGTATGGTATAGCAGCCTTTCCGAGCGAGCCATTTTCTATGTGCTACAAGCTTCCATTACCAGTCATTCGAGAGTTTCAAAGATGCAATGAAATGGTTTTCTAATAACTTTATAAAATAAAAGCACAGTAGTGAGAACTATGCGAAACTTATCGCGAAGGCTCGGTCCGCTAAACGCCCGCCCCTTTTAGTTCCTCGGGAATCTATTAGGATTCTTCTCAAATAAAAATATTCTTAAAACCACGCCTATTGTCCAAGACGCATCAGCAAGTGCCTATCAGATCATGAGTTACTTTTTGTTGGATGAAACCATGGCAGAGAGAACGAACCTCATCTCAAATAAAGATAACAAAATAAATTATGTTTATTCCTTTATTCTCGAAGATCTCCTTAAGTTCTTGAAAGTTGAACTGGATAAGGATCTATCAAGTATAGTTTGCAAGTACCTCACTCGTAAGATAGTAAAAAGTCTTTTTATAACATCGTTTCCGTTCCGTGGTCAATATACTCAAGAGTTGAGGACCCGAATTCGGTCTATGTCCGGGCTGCTGCGGCGCTCACTGGTATTTTACCTCATATCATATTTTGAAAAAGTCTGTCTTGCTTATCCCTGACTTCCTTACTCACTCAGAGAGCATCTATTGAGTACATTTCCCATTGGGCGTCTGGCATTGCAGGGGTGATCATTGCCCATCAACACAACTCCACTGTCAACCGATAGGATTGGAGCGTCATGGCAATTCGTTCTTGACTTTAGACTAAGGTAAGTCGAAATTCGGTTGTTTTTTTTCATTTTATATAGAAGAAAAATCCATCCGCTCTTCTTCTTCCTTTGAATAAGGAAAGTTACTTGGAATCTTTCTCTCTCTCTCTTTGTCTCATTGCTATCAATCAACGGTTCGAAAGCCAAGGAAATAAAGTGGAAAATGAGGGTTGTGACTGGACACCACATCGGTGAGGATTGCGCTATGCCACTTGTCCGTCCTTACCTGGGTGGGAGTACTGCAAAGCTATTGGATGGCAAGGAAATCACAAGATTGCTCACTTAAAACCTAGCTTGCTGGCGCCTGCTGGCTCTCCTAAGTCTCTTTCCCTTTCCTGCAACTGGAACTTTAAATGTAGCACTGGATGTAAACTCTCACTTGAAGAATTGCTAGCTTGCCTATAATTCCTACTTGAATAAAAGAAAGGCCTGCTTTCAATTTAAAGGCTTCCTCACTCACCGTAACAGACTCAGGCGCTAGAGAACTCGAACAATGTCAAAAGAGGGCATTGGTATTTTAATAACCCGGCTTTCAAACTAACTTAGATATGCCATTTTATACACTCACTTACAAGAGGCAAGTTTTAGAAATAGAAATCAACTTTCTTACACTAGGGGAGATTAAGTATATGCTCACTTCGGAAAAGATGAGTAAACAGTAACTTCTAAAAAGGAGAAGGAAGTAGATTAGGGCAGGCTAACAGCGCCAGGAAATGTATGAGAACTCGCCTGTCCTGCCTATGTAACCTATTCGATTCACTCTCCTGGTCCGACAGCAAAACAAAGTTAACTTCCACGGGATCTGCCATCGAAAGGAAATGGCCTGGACATTGCAGGAAATACATATATATAGGCTGCAGATGGCCCATAATATGCGATTGCGGATATACCTGAATACGCTATGGGGCTGATCTTTCCCTTGCTGGGATATTTTATGTGAGCAAGCCTCTTTCTTCCTTTGCTTTGGGACGAGGCCTGTTATCTTAATCCATCCAGAGGGAGTGCCCCATAAGCCAATGCCATTCCATTCATTTCCCGTTACCTGCCAGCCATTAATTAGTAATTTTGAGTTCTGTCCATGCGATCTAACAGACTAACAGGACAAGCAGTAGTTTTGAAAGGAAATCTGGCAAGGAAAATCCAGCAAACAAGGGATAGGCATAAGGCAAGTCTTTCCAGTAAGTGGTCGCAAGCGAATGACCTAGGAAGAAGCCCGTTTACAAAGAAGTTCACATGCCCTGCAACGGATCTCAAACAAAGCGTGGCTGACAGCGCCAAGAAAGTATGGCTTACACTTCCTTAGGAAGTCAGAACTGGTGGAAGTGGGCTGGCTAATTTACCACAAGGGCTCAGGCCTAATTGGACTTATAAAGAGTTTTCAGTCACAAAGGAAGCAAGCTATTATTCCTTTCAAGCAAGCAAGGTGGAAAAGGGTGCTTGCTCCGTCAGTGTCAGACTGACGAGTTGGCCGTAGAGGATGCGGCCTGTCAGGAAGATCGGCTTTGGTGCCTATTATAAAAATCAAAATAAAACTTCCCTCGGGCAGCTATCTTTCTTAGTGCTACCCTATGGTCCACCACGTGATGAATCATGAGGGCGAGTTACCAGCGACCGTATGGTTTGTGGTACTCCTTGGATAAGTTTGGAACTGGGACCTGCACGAGGAGCCCAGGGGTTATGAGCCACTCCCGACACCTCCATTAGGAAGAAGAGGTCTTGCAGCAGCGGTAGCATATGTCGGAGGTTTGGAAGAAAGTATGAACGGGCTTTGCCCCCCTATTGGGGAACCTTCTCATCCCGATTCTGCCTTTGGAGCTATCTGAAAAGGTCATTTTCAAGTTTAGTTTTCTTACTGATTCGGCTCGCTACCTATAGAGCTTGGTGTCTTGATAGAGCAGCATCGTTACCAGATTGTTTTATATAAGGGGAATTGGCTTGAAGAGAAAGAAAGGCAGCCGGCTCGTAAACTCGTCTCTATAATATAAAAGGGCAAAGAAGAAGAGGGAAAGAGTGTAATGGGGACAATCTAAGGAAGAAACTAGAGCTCTGGAAGATAAAGAAAGAACGAAAGGAAAATGGAGTACTTGCCTTGGTTGTCGGAAGGAAAGTCCTGTCCAGTCTTGAACTAATCAACTACTCTACTCAACTCAGCAAGCAAAATACAAAGAAATCAAGTAAACAAACCCTATAGTAAATACAGTACATTCCAAAAAGGCTAAAGCCCTCTAACCGAGAAGTCAGTGCCGAAGTATTTAAGTTCCAACCGAAGTAAGAAGACCTCGAGGCAGGGAAGAGGAGTGAAAGCCACTCGCCCTACTCATACAAGTCAAGGAGAGGAGCGATGTAATTGAGCTCGTATTTCTATATAAATATCAGCTTAACCGGGCAAATGCAGAATCATCATAGGTAAGAAGCACAACACCATGTTCCCTCTTTCCTGTCGCAACTAGTCCCGTGAGCTAGGTCCACGGTTGCTACTTCTCTCGTCTCTGGAAAAGGGAAAAAAACGATTCTATATGGTCAGTCACTTCGGGCTACTTTTTGGGGAGATAGCATGGGGCTTATGAATGGAAGGAAATCCCCTCTCCAAGTGTGTGACTCTTTAGGGGAAAATCCCGTCCTGTGGTCCTGAACAAACGTTCCATCCTGAAAAGAAAGCTCATCTCTTACTGGGAACGAGAGATCTAATACAACAAACAACAAAGACCTGAACTAGCAGCTCGCTCAATGCGCATTGAAAGCCATTATAATGAATGCCCTTTTTTAGCATCTTTGAATTGAACTTAGCCCTCTTCCTATCCTAAACCCCTAGAATCATAAGAAACAATTGATGGTTGATCCGGCAATTCTATTAAGTAATTAGTTAGTCTATCAAGCTGAAACTAGGACTTAGGAAGACTCAGGGAGGGCACCCCTTTTAGGGTACTCCATCGAATGGACCTATCCTCTACTCTTGGAAGTCTGGTTTGCGAGCCCCCCATAGATGAGATTATAACTTTGATTAACCTCAAAAGTAAGGTTATATCTCGGATGGCCGAGTTGGACCCAGACCCTTTCTGGGTTGAAAACCGAACCAGCCTTCTGGTCTGGGAGACTCCATTTTAACAAAAAAAAAGTGGGAATATCGGCCAGAGACTCTTACAAACCGACTCGCCCAGTTGGATAGAGAGGGGACAAAATATCCCTTTTTCCGGGAACTTCGCGCATTGCGCGAAGAATATCCACAAAACTGACCCCCAGATTTCCGAGATGTTTTCTTGTCTATCGTTTATTTTCTGAACAAATCTAATGGATCGGGATTGGTATAAGGTCACCTATTGCTACTAAGAACCTAACATAACTTTTCAAAAGAGAGTTTATTTTTCACACAAGAGTTTTTCGGTTGGATCGAGGTCCACTTCTGGAACCCCACCCGCATTAGTAGAGGTGCTTATTTACTAAAATACTGAGTTGGCCTTATCTTCTGCCACCGAGCCTGTGTTACTAATTACCCTTCTTGGCTTGATAGTGAAGGTAGTGGTAGTCAAGCATGTCTGTGGCTAGAGGAGAAAAGCATCTTTGAAGGAATTCTATTATAATAAGATATTTGCCTATGCTTTCTTAGTTATAAGAAGAAAGTTGGGACAGAGGAGGCTTACAAGCCTACAGAGTCGGAAGTCGATGATAGAGGTTAATCATTACAAGCACTCTTAAGCGCGGGGCGGGCAAAAAAGAAGCAACAAGATGCTTACTAAAGGTGGGACATAAAGGAATATCCTTTAAGGCATTTCGGGATTTACTTCTTTCTTTGACTTTATAGAAAACATTTATACTTGATTGAAGATATACCAAAACTCTCGTCTATTTCGATGGTATGATAGTAACTAGAGCTCCGGAGAAAATGACCATAGAATTCTTTCTTAGCCTTAGACAAAGAGAACGGGAAACCAGGAACCAAGCAGGCCTCTTGGCAGGAAAACAAGCTAGATCACGTTCTCGAAATAAACCAAGTTTTTCATGTAGGATTTTGTTGGTGGTCCATTAAGGTCTTGACCCCCTAGGAACTACTCGGAAATAAGGTAAGTAAGTTAGAGAGCTCTGTCCCAATTGTTGAGGAATGGGGTCTTAAGACAGACAAGGCTTTAGTAACGAGTTTTACTAACCGAGGATGAAATTGCCACAGACCAGCATCAGCTAGCTCATGTCTTGGGCAGACTAGCTTTTACCAAGAAATAGTAAATAAAAGATTGCTTTGGTGGTAGGTGAAGTTGTAACAAAGTTCCCTTTTTCAATCAGTTCCAAGACCCCGAGGCTCGAGCCCTTAATCAGATTTTTGGGGGATCTTTGCCGTTGATCCTAGCAATGAAGAAAGATGATCTTCCTTTAGCCGGGCACACACCCAGTAAGATGTGAAGCTGTTCACTTCCCTGGTTAAGACATATTCCCAAGCTAGAGAGAATAACTTAGCTCTTTTTATTCTGCCTCGATATAACTTTTGAGTGACTACCCTAAGAAATCAGACTTATGCTCAGTTCTCCTCGGGATAAGCTGCTCTTGTTTCATAAGCAAATGTGGCAACTGGTGGTAACGTATAAAAGTACCCTATACTATGTGTGAGCCGTTAGAGTATAATCAAGTCCATGTCTTCTTAGTCAGTGTCTCAGTCACGGAAATAAAAAGTACAATGTCCCTGGTATACTACTAAAGCTCTAACTCTTATCTGTCTTCTAGACGAGTGAAGTGACCAATGGGGATTGGTCACGAACGCTATAAGCGAGGTTGCTTTCCGCCTTAGTACATCTCACATTGTGGTACCCTTTAGAGTTATAGTCAATGTATCACTGGTATAGGAGTTTATTATCCGTCTGAGATTGGGTTGGTGTGCAGTGTACTATTACTATAAGGTACAAGATCGAAAAAACACAGAGTGAATACATCTGTCGTTCTCTAGTTTATATGCTAGAGTTGTTTCATCCATTTCTATTTATACTCGGTGAGGCACCTTTTGAGGAAAATCCTACGAAATCCCATCGGTTCTAGCTTTGTTAGTTTCATGGAGGAAAGGGGATTGATGACTTTTATAAGTTATTTGAGCAATTCAACTAAAGTGAAGAAAAATAAAGGATCTTATTTTCATCCAAGCGCTCTGTACGCTGTGTGCTATTTTGACATCTCATTACTACCTATCAAGTTAAACTTGCCTATGGTATACCCACCTATAGAGTGGCGGAATGCCCGCAATGATGGTTAAAATGCTAGCCAGATGTCCGATCTTAGAGGAATATCTTGCTTTGTTAGCATCTACGTAACGGCCTTGTTTGTTAAAGCGTTCCAACGACATCTTTTGCACATGGTCTCTACTGACACACACCTCTCCCCTGTAAATCCTCCTTATAACCTAACGGAAAGCCAACCTGAGTTAAACCTGACGTCAAAGACTAGCCGCTTAGACGGGTATAAGTACTAAAATACCATACATATGTAATGGACTACTTTTCATACTACTATCCTTCCTCGCTATGATAATAGGACTCTGTCAGCTTCCGCTGCTATGACGATATCGCTATTGATCGCGTAGCCATGACATACTCCTATCTTCTTGAGAGCTAGGGATATGGAAAAAGATCCGTAAATTCCCCCGCTTTCAGAGATTCCGAACTCAAGGGCAACCATGCCTAATTGTGCTAACAACGCTTTAAGAAACTTCAACCCCAGCGAATGGCAAAACAACTGCAACTGGTTCGTAGGAGGCTCCCACTATACATATTTAGTTTGTAGGAAGGATAGGATGGCATCAAGACTGCTCGTATGGAGACTTTTTCTTAATTGTAGGAACCTCCGGGAATGTCTTAGTCCTAGTACTTACTGTTAGGAGAATAGCCCTTCGATCCTTATTATTGTGATTTTTGTTTGTTTGATAGTTCGGCTAGCTTGCTGAACCAGTAGAAAAATATTCGATTCTTCGAACGTACTGATATATAGAGTAGTTAGTATAACGCAGAATCGAGTACTTCTAGTAGAATAATAATAATATACTGTACTTTTTTCAAGGAAAAAGATTGTATAGTAATGATGCCGAATCCGTTAGGTTGAGTTAGTAAAGGAGCATCCGTTAGTACTGATAGAATCGTTCTAGCCTCAACAGGGGAATTACTTTTCAAGTAAACTGACTACTATTCTTACTTCTAGAACCTGGGTATGCTTATTCACTAGTTGCTGGAAGGGTAGAACGTAGGGCAGTGTTGGCTCATCTTTCACTTCCGGACTCTAGCTTTCTAAAACCTTCCTCACCTATAGCACCTGGCTTAGCTTTAAGCCAATCCCGGTGGACTTCCTTATCCTTATTCTAGAACCTTCACCTGGGAGTAAGAATCTTCCGTACTTCGTCCTTAGTTAGCCTTTGTCTCATTTCCCCTTCCTCACTTGAGCTCTAGGGAATGACTCCTACCCCTCCTGCTACTGAACTATACCTAAAAATAAAAAGACAAAACTCTAGCTCAGCTCGGGGTTAGGCTTATGTGTCCTACCTTGCCATAATCAAGATTGACAACATCTTCGGACCTTGGCCTTGAAGTCGAGTTACTCTCGTGCCCAAACTCCAAAGACTCAGAAAAGGACTAAACTCCGTTACTTGTCTCAGCATCTGCTTCGTTCGGTCTTGCAGCTACTTTTTCAGAGGGATCCCCAAAGTAATATACTTATATGCCCTCCCATATTGGTATCCCATGTCTGATTCTCCTTCTCCAGATTCTATTTATGTGGAATCTCTGTTTGAACACCATTCCAGTTCCAGATACCTGGTTTTAGTTCACAGCCCCACCTTTCAGTTGAAGTTAAGTTAGCTTCCCCTCCCATGGAAAATAAATTCTTTATTCTTCAGTCAACAAAGCTTTTTCTTATTCCTTCCCCGATAAAACCTTCTCTGAGCCAACAGCCCGATCCATCTTAGTTCGATTAGGAAGTCCACGCACAACGAGAGAGAACTGGGTGGCGTGGAAGGGGGATATTTAGCTATGTGCGGGTAGAGCTGCTCCTGCTCAGTTGCCACTGGATATCCACATTTATCCCCTAGAGCTGCTGTTCATTCCTCCCCCCATCGGTTGAGTGTTTTCATTCCCCCGGGCCTTATTGGAAAGTCGGGGCTTCCCCTCCTTTTTCCGAGTAAACTACCCTTGCCATAGCTACCCCCAGCCAAAAGGCCATAGATAGGCTTTTGGCCCTAAAGCTACAGTTAAGGCCCCGGCCAATTATGAATCTGAATAAAAAAACATTTGAACTAGAGTTTTCCCCTACTTGTATGAGTGGGGCTCGCGCTATAAATTTAAGTAATTAATTGGCCAACCGCACCTAAGATGACTGAGAACAGGAACTACCCGATCAAAGAGTCTTCCTTCTGCGCCTGGGCCTTCCCTTAAGATGAGAACAAGAGGGGTGAGCTTCACCTGAAATCATTTCCTAGGATTGAGGTTGATTGGCTTGTTCAAGGCAAGGCTCGACGTAGTTGAGTTGTTATGGGGAATCTCCTATCTAAGATTAAGCAAATGAACTCAAGGGCCACCTCTGAGAGTGAGACATTGTATTGTGTCTATGTAGCGATTGGACAGAAACGCTCAACTGTGGCACAATTAGTTCAAATTCTTTCAGAAGCGAATGCTTTAGAATATTCCATTCTTGTAGCAGCCACCGCTTCGGATCCAGCACCTCTGCAATTTCTGGCCCCATATTCTGGGTGTGCCATGGGGGAATATTTCCGCGATAATGGAATGCACGCATTAATAATCTATGATGATCTTAGTAAACAGGCCGTGGCATATCGACAAATGTCATTATTATTACGCCGACCACCAGGCCGTGAGGCTTTCCCAGGCGATGTTTTCTATTTACATTCCCGTCTCTTAGAAAGAGCCGCAAAACGGTCGGACCAGACAGGCGCAGGTAGCTTGACCGCCTTACCCGTCATTGATGTTGCAAAGTCGTCTTATGATTCCGAATTCCCTTCTTGAAGGTTGCGTCATCAGAGAAGGTCCTTGTTCTGTTCTGGCAGTCAGAGTGATGGCTCCTCATCCTCGACAGAGCAATGTTAGGTTTCTGAGACAGTTGAAGAAGAACCCCAAGTCTCAGGTGATGTAGATAAGAAGTCCAAAGATAGAAGGTGATCCTAATTACATTGAACCAATGGTTATAGTTAGACTTATGGAGAAGGCTATTATGCTTCTTCACTGCCATCCAGATGGATATGCTAAAGCAAAGGGTGCAGGAACATCAGATACAAAGGTAGAGACTATAAGTAAAGAATCGGATAAGGTAAAAAAGGGAGTAATTCCTAGTCAAAGAAACAAAAATGAAGAATAAAAGCATGTAGTTGGGAATGCTACTGAGGGCTAATCCAGAGTGAAAAAGGCGATGGCGCTTGCCGTAGAAAGAGATTAGACCGGTTTGGTACTCCAACTACCAATGAAAAAAAGTTTTCAATACAAATCCGTGAGTTGAGTCTAGTCATGTTGCTTCAAAAGAATCCTCTGGGTCTTTTCTTCCTATCTGGTTCTCTGGAACCAACCCCTATGTTCATAAGCACACTGAGCCTTTCAATAATATCCATCCAATAAAGAAAGATTTAAAGAAAGTTTTAGACATAATTAACTACACTTACTAGTCGTTGGGCTTTTCCAGCCAGGCAAGCTCGGGAAAATAGGATTCATTACTTAACTCCTTAGAGTGAAGCGCATTTATAATGTAAGTAAGCAAAGACTCTTTATTACGGTCTCCGGAGAAAGGTCTGAGAAGGATCACCCCTGCGCGGGGACCTAAGCCCGGAATTCCGGAAGATGAAGACTTTATCGATTCCTACATCTTCCCCCCAACCACAGTCGTTAGTAGATATTATGGGCCTTTTAATTCCTTGCTTATGGATGGGAACATGCCTTCTGTTAACCTCCCCTCCGGAACTTCTTCAACCAATTAGTAAATCCGCCTTTCCTTTCACTCTGCCTCTTTTTCTGGGTTGGGACTTGCGATTGATTCGCCGAGCGGGAGTGACATGACTTTTGCAGCAAGGGTTCATGGAGAGATTGAGCTTTCCTAAATATAACTATAGAGAGCCAATCTTAAACCTATCTTTCTACTTTATTGCCTCTAAACCGGGTCGATAAAGCGTTTATCCTAGCTCATCACTGCTTCAGTTAGCTCATCCTATCCTATACCACCAGCCAAGCATAGATAAAAGATATACGCGCTTCTCCTTCATAAAAGAGCGAAAAGGCCATTTCTAATTCTGCTTAAGCGGATTAAGAAGGAAATTAAGCCCTTGGCAGAAGGGGTACAGGTAGTACGCGTACTTGGTGGCAGAAGACAGATGAAAAGGAAGGGCCAGATCGAAAGTTCCCCAGGACAAACCTGTTAGGAAATGCCCCAACCCCTGATGAAAGAGCTTTTCCTAGCGGCTTTTATTAGAGACAGGAGGGGGTGAACCCCAAAGCATTCTCCAAAACCAAGACCTCCGCTCCGAATCGAAAGAGGAGACAGACAAACTCTATTCGGAAAGTATTCCCGGAGAAAGAGAAGAACCTTGTATGTATACTACGATATACGTGCATACTCCAATGCAGCCTTCCAGGCCCGCGAGAATAAGTGATCGGACTAGGATAAGGTTGTTAGGCTGAGGTCAAGTAATTCCTGCTACTTAGTCGGCAGTTTGACCAACTGCCTAAATAAATGCAATTGGCCCTGGCTATATGCTTAACACTTAGCAATCGTACAATGCATACTCTCTATCCCGGAAGGAGAAGTCGGTAATCGATAACCTAAGCCGCTACTCTCGCCCTTAATGTACTACTAATCGCTCACTCGCTGACCCAGCTCTGGCACGCTTGCTTCCATTCGTATGTAGCAGGTTAAGGGTGCTAATAACTCAACCAAACAATAAACTAACAAAGACTATGAAACTATGGCTACACAGCACAAGTACTCAATCATTGAACTAGGCCATAGGGATTCATTCAATGCTTAAAGTGAGAGCTAAGGGTTGAGTTCAACTAGTCAGTATTGGGTTAATAGGGTAGATAGCTTGGATCTTTTTTTATCCTGTTAGGAGAGGGTGAATGCACATAGATAGGATGCACGCTCAGAGTGTACTGCCGTCCGAGGAAAAGATGCGATACAAAAGAGAATTCAAGGTGTACTGGAAGCAAAGACTGCTAGGCGAACAAAGAAATGAATTGACGAGATCCCAAAGGAACCATCTGAATTCCAACCATTTGTCTAACCGTTGAAAATAGGCAAGCTAGCTCTTCTTCGCTATCTGAACTAGCGCCCTCTTCTCTCATCAATTCAGAAATATTATCTTTCGATTCCCTACTCTAGACCTTCTGAAAAGAAGAAAGAACGTATGTAACAAAGTGAGCCGGACCCCTCCTAGTCTATGCCTAGGCTTCCAGAAAGGAATGAGAATCCATACCATATCCCGATACGCGCAGACCGCCCACCCTATGATTCCAATTCAGTGACTCCGCGATCGCCCTCTAAACGATCAGAATAAGGTAAAGCTTGAAGATAAGTTTTGTACTCTATTAATTTCTCAGTCCCTCTAGTCGGGTGGGCGCCGGCCGGTCTTTCGACCAGATCCCCCTAAAAACCGTACGTGCGGGTCTCCCCGCATGCGGCTCACGCCATTCGAGGTGGCCCAGCCCAGCATTCATTCGCAAATCCTGTAGTGAAATTGAGACTGCTCGACCTCGGAAGCTAATTCGCGTGTAGGCTGCGCTGTCTGTCGTACCGTTGACTCTATCTATTCATTGAATTTACTTTCATTCATTTTTTTGTTTGATAGGCTTGCTCCCTCTTTTTCCAAGAATTAATGCACTTCCCCTTGACTTCAGAGGGCCTTCTCTAATAGGGGAAAAGCCTTCCATTTCCGTCAAATGACCCGGCCCCCCAGGCTCTTCCACCGTCCTGGCTCCCTTTCCTACCTATGCTATGCTCCCCCGACACAGGCCTACCACGCTTCGCGCCTGCGGCGTTTTCGCCGGACGGTCTTTTCCAGTAGTGCCATCCTCCCCGCTGGCTGTATGGGCGGGTTGTCCCTCGCTGCTGCGTTCTGTTAG